GACTAGCCAAGCGACCATGAAGAGTGCTGTAGCAAAGCCGTTCACTCTGCGCGCTGGGTCTGTGCCCAGCCGCTCCATCATATCCCTAAGTCATCCCAACAAAAGCTGCAGAAGTCTCTACCTGCCATTCCTCAATGCGTTCTCCGCGCTGATGTTCCAAGCAACTTCCGATTAGGACCACCCTGGCGGAGCTCGGCGGGCAAAGTGTAACGCATCCGCACATAGCAAAAAGTACTGACATAGCAGCGCTACAAGGCAATGCAAAGCAAAAGCAGGGCATAGGAGAAGCATCACGCATGGCGTAGTTGTCCTGATTAAGAAAAGGAAGCAGCAACTTATTTTCTGAACAAAAGCTAGGCACAAAACGAACACAAAACTAGCTATCATCATTGCAGATCCTTCGAAACATGGTAAGTCGCTGCAATGATGACATCCAAGGGTCTCAGACGGAGACATAACTAGACGACGGTTGGCCCGAGAGCGAGACATGCGATTGTCCAGCAACGTCGAAAAGATATATAGAAAGAGAGAAAGAGAGGGTGGACGTGAAGGAATGACAGTGTGGATGCGCAGGCGCGATATAGATGTGTAGCTGTATGGAGGTGGAGAGGTAGATCTGTGGATGTGAGCGTGCGAAGATGTAAATGTACAGAGGCGAGAGAAAAGATATGTAGAAAGAAAGAAAGAAAGAAAGACAGATGTGAAGGAGTGACAGTGTGGATGTACAGAGGTGATATAGATGTGCAGATGTGTGGGTGTGGTGAGGTGGAGAGGTAGATCTGCGGATGTGAGCGTGTGAAGATGTAAATGTACAGAGGCGAGGGGGTGTAGACGTAGATGCGTCGACGCAACGGCAGCGCAACGTCAACCTTAGTTGCGCAAGTACAACGCTGAAGAGGTTCGAATAGAACTGAAGAACGTACATTTCACACTTCACACTGAAGTTTCCACGAAATGGACGTAAGGGCGACCTGAGAGCAAACGACGTCACGATCATGACAAGCGACTCGTGTATTCCAAGCGAACATCGTTTGTCATGAGGGTGAAGTACACACATACAAACGTCACGATGACTCTTTTTGCGGCAGCCGCTGATCGCGTCATTTGAGCGATGATGTCGTAGGTTCATCCCGAAAAGTCTCGACGGACGACCCGCGACATAAATTAGCCTCGGTGCGTTGCGCTGAAGTCTCCCTGCCATTCCGCGCGCAAACCTTCCAGGCGCCATAACGCTTCCAAGACATAGGGTCGATTGCGCCAAGGACGCGAAGCTGGTCTTTTTTGGAAGCAGCAACTGCACGGCCTCCAGTGCGGAATGTTCGTAAGCGACAACGAGCCAAGCGCACAAAATCCCCGCGCTCCGATTGATGCCACCAAAGCCATGAAAGAGCACGTGCATGGATTTGTCCCGGGCGACCGCCAGCATGGACTGTTCCCACAACTGGCTGCAGACGATTTTCCACTGTCGCAAACAGGAAGCCACCAAGTCCGGAATTTGCTCAAGCCAACGCCTTGCCGGCTTCAACGTCGTGTCCTCCAAGTGACACTGGATGTGAGAGACATCTTGTTGTTGAAAGTATTTTGCCCAGTCTGTCGGTGCGCCTGCGATCTTCATCTCCTGCGCGCACATGTTGACAACCACTGTGACCTTCAAAGACGAGGTCTCCACAATGTCTTGCAAGCTACACGCAGCTTTCAAACTTCCAAGCAACAGCGACGCTCGATCCGTAGGCCTGTAAATGACAGCAGCATCCAAAGGCCACGCTTCTATGGACTTAAAGCTGTGGTTGTGTTGGTCTGTGACATAATCCAAAGCAGTCCACCGGCTCCTATCAGCATAAGCGTCTCTGATATCCTGCTCCCGCTGTGTTCTCCACTCGAGAGCGTCAGTAGCCAGATCCATGACGACCAAAGGCGAACGCCTGATCGCCTGCGACGAAGAGGCCATACCTGCGACGACGGATTCCAAGGTCTGTAGCTCCTCTGGCTCGCCAGGTCCAAACCTCGCGCGGTTGGGCGCCGATTTCTCTTTTCTGGGCGCCGATTTCTCTTTTCTGGCGCTTTGCTTCGACGGTAACAATACAATTGTATTGCGTAGCAACCTGCGCACCACCAACAAGAAAACAAATTACACCAGAATAGACCCAGATAGCTAGGCAGAATCCCACGACCTGTTGACATGCGACTGGCTGGAACAAGAATGTACGCAGCCTGCACAGCCAGCTTACGGCGCCTCCACAGCGCACACAACCAGCTGACACCAGCGCCGGCGCGCTTTGCCAGCTGACAACACCGGCAGCGGCGCCAGCACCCGACCAGCGCCGCCGCCCGTCTTAAACGCGCGCTCAGCCAGCTCACAGCACCAGCACCCAGGACCACAACACCAGCACCAGCGCCGACACCCTTTCGAAAGCGCGCGCAGCTCATTCTTATTTGCAGTAAGAACCCCATAGCTATCCCTATTTGGGGAATAACAACTGATGATCTTGCGCGCATAAGTTATGCGCGCAAAAAGTATGCGCGCAAACAGCAAAGCCCGTAAGCGTCGATCTGAAGAACGATAAGGCCGTATGATCTTGCGTATAAGTTTACGCGCGCAAAAGTATGCGCGCAAACGGCAAAGCCCGTAGGCTTCACTCGCCCAAGGCCAAGCAGTATCCAGCACGACTATTGTGTGTGTGTAGCATGCTGAAGCACGCTGAAACAATGGTCGGTTGAGAGCCTGACGTTGCACATAGAACATTATACGTAAAAAAGCGCGCGCGCAAGCAGTACAGCGGTTGACACAGCTGTCGGCCAAAACAGAACCTGAAGAATGTAAATACCCCACCGCGCTAATAGACGAAGAACCCTCAAGCGACACACCGTATGATGTTGCGGTCATAAGTTCATGCGGCCCATGACTGCTGGCACTTCGGCACCAGCAGCACCAGCACCCGCTGTCTCCACCATGCGCACTACCAGCACCCAGCACCGGCACCCTGTCTCCACCACGCGCACAGCCAGCTCACAGCGCCACAGCACCAGCACCAGCACCGGCACCCGGCAACACCACGCGCACAGCCAGCTCACAGCTCCAGCACCAGCACCGGCGCCCGGCACCCAGCACCAGCACCAGCAACCTGTCTCCACCGCGCGCACAGCCAGCTCACAGCACCAGCACCGGCACCAGCAACCTGTCTCGAAAGCGCGCACGGGCAACTCATTGAAGTAAGAACTAAGAACCCCATAGCCTCGCTATCTGGGGAAAAACCTTATCGGGCAAGTGACTGTGCATGATACGCGTATTTGCTGCTGATCTGGGAGTTCGCAAACAGGGTCTCGATTTCACGCAGCAAGCGGTCGAGCGGGGACTTCCACTCGTCTCTGATGCACCCCTTCCGTGTCAGCGTAGCCAAGATTTCCCCATCGTGCTTGGTGAGCGTCCACACAATATGTCTAAGACACTTGCCCAAGGTCTTGTACTGCCCGTTCTCCCCCAAACACGCAATCCATCAAGATCACACGTGACCCACTTGCCATGTGCACCCCGTTTCGCTAACCCCAGGTTGTCCAGCTTCGCGTCCCACGGAATGATCCCTTGTCTCATGAAATCAAAGACTACCTCTAACATATCCAGATACTCTCACGACACTTCCCGCCACGTCGCAGCATTGCAAGGCTGCTTGGAGAGCAAGAGCTGTATTCTCTCATGTCCAGCCGCAATGAGTTTTTCTTGTACAGTGATGGAGGCAATTGCAGCTTCAGGCGCCAGCCTGTGGTCCTGTTCGCAAAAGAAATAGTTTCCGCTTTGCGGAACATCCCCTGCCTGGCCGGCAAGATACACGTGGCCATAGCAAAACGCCATTCTCTCCTGTAACCTCTCACGGGCACACTCAAAGCGCTTCTGCTCTTCTGCAGCACCTCCAGCCATCCAAGAACTAATATTGCGGCTTTTCATCATCAACTTCACCACCCACAAATTGTGTTCCAAGACGAAGACATCTTTGAAAGCCCCAGAACCAGCAGGCAACATGACATCTTCCAAGATCGCATCGGCACCTTCGCTCACAAGAGACCGAAACGTCAATCTCACCGCTGCGTTGGTGATCATATGTCGCGCCTTGCCGGCTTCGAAAGGCTTCCTTTTCTCTACCTCACGAACCGTGATCGTGGCAGCCGCCAGCCTATAGCATTGAAGACGTAGCACATCCATGGCTACAAACAACGAAACTACATCACTGATCAATGTTACAGTTCTGTACATAAAAAATATATTCAAAACAACCAGTTCTGTTCCACTGTGACAACAGCTCCACTCTCACGGACAGTCCCTTCAAAGAATGGAGTAAAGATGGTAATAGCCAATGACCCAGATCAGCACATGGAAACATATTTCTAAGAACCTAGGGAATTGATGCCTTGTAGATAACAGCTCCACTGTCACGATTTACCCGGGGGGTAGAGTGGCGCGGCCAACCTTAGCTCTGTCTTTTCTCGAGAAGTCCCGCCGCGGCTGCGGCAAGTCAGACAGTCATGTCAACTCATGACAAGTGTCAGTGACACTTTACACCTTGGAAAACTGGCTGTTTGACGGCATGTCCAGTCCCACTCGTGTTGTTCTCGAAAGGAATCCGATCGGTGTCCAACGACACGACCGAGTTGTCCTCAAAGAGTTTCGCTTCTGAGCGGAGTTCCAACAAAAGGTTCGGTTCTTAATGGTTCTTAAGTGAAACAAGCAAATCAGACCACGCCATAGCTGAACAACCCCAAGTTCACCAACGTGAAGTTGTTGTCCGAAGAAGGCGAACAGAAGGACGCGAGAACATCTGAGGCCGCTGGCGCTATCTTCCAAAGGAAATGCTCTGGTCATGGAAAAGCCATCCCTTGGCGCCAGCTCGGCATCCCGAATCAGTTCCAACACCAGTTCTTTGTTTCATCACTTGATCTCGACTCAGGATAACACACAAAACCAAAGCTGTCTCTGCTTCTCATCGAATATGCATAAATTGCACTCGTTCTTGTATCTTGGCAAGAACTGACATGTTTGCTCAAAGTTGTCACGTAGTTCGCATTGGTTGTGGCGGCTTAGCGCACTGTACTATAAAACTGCAACATACGTGTGTAGGTGTGTGCTTGAAAGCACTCACCGTCTGGATGACTCTAGAAATCAGAGCCTGTACAAAGAGATGACCTGTACATCCCCATCGCTGAGGGGTTCCAAAAGCTCAGAATGCTCAGAAGATGTCCCGCACGAAATTCCCCACGTCTCGGAAGCCGTCTCCCGCGAAGTCGCCCACGTCCTCGACCGCCTCCTCGGCGAAGTGGGCGATCTCCCCCGCGTGGTCCACGGCGAAGGCGGTCCCCGCGCCCAGGGCCACGCCGCCCGCGGCCGCCATGGCCATCTTGGCGCCGTTGCTCATGCCGGGGCGGGCCGAGGGGTTCGGCACCTCCCCGTAGGGTTCGCCCGGCTGGGCGTAGGGAGCGGAGTTGGGGTAACTGGGTGGAAAACCACTGGGTGGGTAGTTTCCCTGATAAGCATCCCCATAGTTGCCATACGGACGGGCAGGGCACTCACCATAGCCTGGTTGAGGTGCTCCGTAGCCATAGGCCTCGTATGGCTGTTGTGGGTAGTTGGTACCTTGGCAAAACGGACGTTCGGGCGCATACTGCTCATACATGGGCTGTGGGTAGCCGTATTGAGCATAGCCTTGTGGCATGTATGGGCGAGGCTGGCCTGCCATGTCTTCTTTACCCATCAAGCAGCCCATGGGTCCTTCAGTTCCTTCCTGTGCTGGGACTCTAGGACAAGCTTTGGAATCTTGAGCTGATGGCAAAAGATCGAATCAATCGGTCAACTCTGCCAACATCCGCATTGGTTCTCTTGTGTGCAAAATGCTTCTCCGACGTCCAAGCTGAGACCCGAACTCATCGCTATAAGCGCCATTCAGGCCTTGGACCCCCGAGGAAAAAAAGGTCACCAAATGGAGCGCCAGGCCTTCAACCGGGAGCCCCCCTGATTCTGGCGCACATGGCTAAGACCGGCACTCATGGCTGTGACCAAGATTTCAACCTTCCGAGTGAGACTCCTTCAACTTGCGTGTCCCTTGAGACTCCTTCAACTTTGAGAAGTATCAGTATGCTGTTCCTTCTTCTGCTTCCAGGTCGACCCTCGTCATCCATTCTTCTAACCCCCGCAAAACCGCCAGAGTGCGAGGGCGCCTGCGGTGTGTGGTGAAGCGCCGTGACATCCAGGTGAAAAGACTTCATGTCATCGGAGAGCGAAAGCCTGGCGGAACATCTCGGTGGTTTGGTTCAACGCAGATCAGTCTGGAATGTCTGGATGTTCAAGATCTGTCAAGACAGGTGGTCTTTGTTTCATGGTTTCACCGAGTTTCACAGGTGAGTTTCGGATCCAAACTGATCCAGAAGCAACTTCTGGGGCCAGTCGGCATCCAGGAGCCCACGGTTCCATCCGACCACCGCAAGGCGCGTTCGTCTCGCTCCTCATGAAGTCCGGTGGCCCCGTCATACCGCAAAGCGGCAGGTCCTGCACAGCTGAGACGCCAAAGAGGGTGACCGGCCCAAAATCTGTGTAAAACACCAGCGGGGGGGCCTTGCTAAAGGGAGAAGCTGACCTTCCCTTCTTATCGTCATCGATCTGCTCAACACTTAAGTTAATATCAGTCTTAATGGGTGTGTGTTTCAGCTTCTTTTTTGTGACGAGCACCGGGCCTGGTCGATCGGGGGCCCCCGAGCAGCCCGTCTTTGGCCTCGAGACTTGACTTCGGAACTGATGTAGCTCATATGCATTCAGAACTCTTTGGGATCGATTCAGCAAGAACAGTGCTCTCATCTCGAAATCACTCGGGCTGCGAGAGCAGCAGCTCGCTGCTCTCAAGCTGCTCCACTTGCACTGTTGAGTTCAGCTTTTGGAAAGCACACATTTGCAAGCTTGACAGACAAGGTCCCTGCTTTCACGTTCAGACCTGACAGCTGAAAAATCAACGCCCAACAAACGATCGAACAAAAACCGAAAGCACCTCGCGGCAACTCCGCGGCTCCGCGGCGCAAACTGGCATGTAATCTAGTGGCATGGACACCTCTCGCTTTCTCCGCTCGACTGGGGCCACCCCAACCGCTTGGGCCAACGTGGAAAACGTTGGTTCGACTCCTGGAGGCCCCGAGGTCCGGGGCGAAGTGCGGGCGACGGAGTTCGGTGCGGAGGAGGAAGGTCCTTCCAAAACAGTTTCTAATAGCTTCTTGTTACTACTAGTAAGGCACCTGTTACTAGAAGCGATGCACTTGTTTCTAATAGCTTCTTGTTACTAC